AGATTTCTAAATAACCCCGCTTATAGTCTATCCATAAGAAAACCCACTTCTGGGCGCCTGGATGGCTCAGTTAAGCATCTGCCCTCAGCTCAGGTCATGATCCCAGGGTCCTGGGATCGAGTCCTGCATCAGGTTCCCTGCTCAACAGGGAGTCTGCTCCTCCCTCTCCCTCTGCCCCACCCCCAGCTGGTGCTCTCTCTCGTTCATTCTCTAAAAAAAAAAAAAAAAATCTTAAAAAGAAAAGAAAACCCACATTTACTGTTTGAAGAAAGATAAAGAAGAGATTAAGGGAGCAGAACTTTTCATCTGGAACAATAGTTCTCGAAGTGTGGTCCCTGGACCAGCAGCAGCAGTATCACTTGGGAACCTAGAAATGTAGAATGCTAGGCCCCAGCCTACACCTCCTGAATCAGAAACTCTGAAAGTAGGGCCCAGCAATGTTTTAACAAGCCCTCCAGGTGATTCTGCAGACCCTGAATCATGAGGTCTGCAGAGCAAGAAGCAACATGGCAGCAAAGGAAGAGCACTGGCTCAGGAGAAGATTCCAGGCTTAACTCTGGCACAAGACCTTACACCGGTCTCCTAACTTCTCAGACCCTCAGCCTCCTTCAAAGCAATAGAGGACAACAGTAACACTCAGATAATTAAATACTGTTGAGTGTTACATGAGATCCCGCATAGAAGTTGCATACAGTAGGTGCTTAATAATTTTAAGCTGCTTTCAGTTGTCTTCCTGTGTATCACACGGGGCTGCAAACACAAAATGACTGAGGTCAAAGGGCTTGGCGAATTACCAAGTGCAATAGCAATCTGAGGGACAACTAATTACTCTTGGAACAAACAGCCAGGCTGTGAAACACCTAGCATTCCCAGAACACTGGGAAGCAGTTTATGTCCAACTCCATCCAAGCTACAAGCACAAACTCTGCAACAGAGTATCTGCTTTTTACCTGCTTGTGAAAGCTGAACCAGGAAGAGAATAACAGATGGTCCTCCCTGCACCCACCTCACCCCCTGCACAGTATTCCCATCAGAATTAAGGAACTACTCACTAATCTTTTTCATTTAAGTGAATCCAAACTTTACTCTTGGAAAAAGGATAATCTGAAACCGTTTTCTAGCCAATACAAGGAACTGTCACCACTTGCAGAGCACCATGGAACGGACTTAGGGAAACCCTAGTATGTGATACGCAACCCCCAGTGGTCATGGAGGGTTTAGATTAAGGCAGTAACCTTTTGAAATTTGTTTCAGAAGAGAAAATCCAGAAATAAAAGTCCGTACTTTTTCTTCCTCCACACTTCTTAGCCTCTCATACTACTGTTCATTCTGCTCTAAATCATGCATTCTACTTGGGAACCACCTTCCAGAAGGACAGTGAGGATGGCTACAAGAATACACAGGTAACTAACGTCAGACTGTGGGCTTAGCTGCACCTTCAACCTAACAGCACCAGGTTAGAATGTCCGTGTGAGGCCCCAAGCATATGAGTAATAATTACCCTCCCCCTTTCCAACCTGGGCCCAGCAGAATGGTTCCCACAAAGCAGATGAGAAGAAGGGCCGTTCTGCCATGAACGAGGCATTGACCTGAGAAAACGCCATCGACCTTCACAAGCACATCCGTGCAATGGGTTTGAAGTAGCGTGCCCTCGGTCACTCAAAAAGATCCAGAAATTTGCCAGGAAGGAGGTGAGAACTCCAGATGTGCACACTGACACCAGGCTCAACAAAGCTGTCTGGGCCAAAGGAATAAGGAAAGTCCCATACCGTAAGTGTGTGTGGCTGTCCAGAAAAACGTAATGAAGATAAAGATTCACCAAATAAGCTCTGTACATTCGTTACCTATGTACCTGTCATCCCTTTCAAAAATCTACAGACAGTTAATGTGGATGAGAACCAACCCGACTGTCAGATAAAGATATAAAACCACAACAAAATGGTAATAGTAATAATGACCAAGCCCTGAGACTACCAGCCTAACACTTTGCAGCTCTAGCACACCTTTGGTGAACATGTTACCTCTATGAAGGCTCCCTGAGAGCAGCTTTTAAACATCTGTATCCCAGAGCCTGGCACCCACAGGCACTCAGAAGGCCGACTGAACTGGGCTGGTAGGATTGTTTCAGTGCAAGCCCTATGCAGCCGTTGAGAGGTATTATTTTATGAGTGGGTAAAATGAGGATCAGAGAAGCTAAAAGTTGGAGTCAGCTAAGCAATGTCATCTTTGACATCACCCCCCGCCCCCAAGACCAGGGCTTTATCCTGGGCCCAAACCCAGCTTGCCACTGTCCCCACCGCCACCTCTGTTCCACTCAGACTGGTGAACACAGATGTGCATGTACCTGTCCCCAGGCACAGGGTGTCCTCCTCTCTGCCTGTGGAATTCCCAGCCACCCTCATGAGCAGCCCTCAGACTCCAGGAAGCCAGTCCTATCTCCCCAGCTCTTCTGAATTCTGGATTCCTAAGAGCACTGACAATCCCCCCTACTCAACTGAGCACTCAACTAGGCAGTGGCCTTCTATTAGTGATCGTTACTCCAAGCATCTCTGCTCTCTCTCTCTCTCGACACCAGAAATCCCTTGAGGACCAGGATAGCTACGAAATCTCAGCTCTCCCTCTTCCCAGCTGAGCAGTGGCTTTACTCCTCTGAGCCTCAGTTTCCCTATCTCTAAAGTGGGGAGGACAACAAAACTTACTCCACAGAGCAGCTGTATGAAGCAAGTAATAGCTACAGATCTGCCCTGTGTAAGCTGGAGCTGCTGCTCTTACTCATCAGCTTTGTTTTATTTCCGTCTCCCTTCTCTCCCATGAATCGCCTGGCAATACTTTTAAAAGAATACTAACAATACTAAATGCCATGAAAATCACTTTTACACTTTGTCACAACAGTACAGAATATACATTAGAACCTCCTTCTATCCTCTAATTTATCTGAACCATGAAATCAGCTGGGCCTTGCCTGATGACCAACTGGCAATCAGGAGGCTTCATTCTCTTCATGGGTCAAGTGTCTTGTCTAAGGGCTGGCGCTGCTGGCGCTGCCGGGGCCTGTTCCTTCACAGGTCACAGGTGGGCCAGTTACCCCCCATATCCTCTCCCTAACTTAACTCTTCTGTTGTTAATGGTGACAGCTACAATTTATTGAGCCTCTACTATGTCCCCGGCAACTGTCATCTCACTTAAACTGTACTACTCTGAGTATGAATCTCTCTTTCTCTCTCTCTCAGCACACTAAGGTTCAGAAGGGTCACACAATTTTCTAGGGTCATGCAGCCAAAAAATGGGTAAGGCAAAACTCAACTCAGGCCTTCCTGACAAGCATCATGCTCTGTCCACTCATATGTACCCTCCATATCCCTAATATTTGTATATTTTTAAATGTCCTTTAACTTCTACCCCTCACCAGCTACCCCGGCATTTCCAAGGTGTGACACTTCCTATTTTAAAGGACACAGAAAAGAAAACAAATCCCCTCAAGTTTACCAGCTCCCTCCAATAACTGATTGGGATTCAATACCCAACTGAGAAATGAGGTTTCAAAAAAGAAAGAGCACCCGAGGAAAGGAAAGGAGGAAGAAAATCCACATAGACACGGTAGTCCGTAAAGGTGGGAAGAGACTTACCCTAGGTCCAGTGTCCATCATCCCCTATCAAAGACCTTACACCACAAAGAAAAGCAAGGCTCCCAAATGGCAGTTAGCTAACAGAAGAGGCCTCGATAATTTCCCAGACCCCCCTAACGGCTGCAAAGTAAGCTAGAAAGTAATAAGTAAATCAGGAAATAAATCACTACAGCCTAAACCAGCCAGGCCCAGAAGGACACCAAAGGTCCCCACTCCAAAGACGTTTTACCGGTCCATCCACCAACCAGGAGGAACCCAGTTTTAAGAGAAACCAATCAACATTCTCGGCTAATCGGTTGGCGAAAGTTCCTGTCTTGGGTGAAAAGGCAAGTTGCTTTTTTAGTAAAGAAACCCCATACAGTGGGGTCATTCTGGTGTTCATTCACATAGCCTTGGGTTTTTCCTTACCCAGGATACCAGTCATCTCTGGTGCCCTTTTCCAGGTGCCCAGAACCCCCATATAGGATTAACAGGTACTAAGGAGTACCCCTCTCTCTACGATGTCACCAAAAGACTTCAGCTTTGGGCAAATTTAGTACAGCAGGGAAGCAACAGTCAATGTGCAGAGACTAAGGAATATCAAAACTTTAGAACTTGAAGGGACCTAGCGCATCTCACCTCCAAACACCTCATTTTGACAGACAGGGAAAACGTCAAACCAGAAAGAGCAGTGACTTGCACAAGGTCATATAGGAAGAGTCACTGGCAAAGCCCCTTCTGGAGCCCAGGCTTCCTGACTCCCAGTCCGGGGCTCTTATCATTAAATAACACGGCCTCCCTTCTTTCCCAGAGGCAGTGCAGGGATGCCACCCCCCTGGCAAGATAATCACCCTCTGGGAACCCTTCCCCCCATCCCAGTCCCTCCCACAGCCTAGCTGAGTTGCAGCTCTAATTAGCAAGTCTCAGAGCAGGGAGTATTCTCTGGGAGGGTGCCCGGTCTGAGGGCTGCTGGTACTGAAAAGAAGGACAAGGATGGAGGGAGAAGGGTGTGGGAGAACTGGGTCCTGGCGGCAGTGACAGCGAGACCGTCAGCCTGGATGAGGGCGCACTCGGTGGCATCTCCTACCAGGCGAGGAGGCAAGCCGACCCCGGCAGCCCGCACCACCTCCATGAGCCGGGAGGGGCTGGGCCCCGATCGGGAGGGACGCGCGGAGCATCTCCGAGTCCAAGCAGGGCCTCGGGGAGCCGCCTGGCAGACTGGCACCGGCGCCGTGAGCAGGCCCCCAGGCAGCCCGTGGGCAGACACCCGACGTAAAGGATGCCCGGGTGGCCCGTGGGGTGGCACCGGTGCCCGGCGAAGGCCCGCGGTCCTCACCAGCCCCGTCAGCCGCCACCGTCGCCCACCCAGATGGCCCACCCTTCGCGCGGCCTTACCGAGGCACTGCCCCACCGGGGTGCTGAACGGGTTCCCCAGGAGGAACTCCATCTTGAGCGGACAACACGGCAGCGGCCCGGGCCCCCTGTCAGCCGCCCGGGTCCCCGGTGTCCCCCGTCGCGCTCCCGACCTGACTGACACTTGCCCCCGCCCCACCCTCCCGAACGCAGAACGCCCGGCCCCTGACCCCACCCCTTGTCGCGTCCCTATTGGGCAGAGTCTGCCTAGCCGTTCTCCGATTGGCCCCTACGCCTCCCACGCGAAGCCCCGCCTACTCCGCGGCGCCCGATTGGGCGGAGCGGCGAGCTAGGTCACAGGAATCTCCGTCAGGCGTAGCGGCACCTTCCCTGGCCCGCCTCCGGACGAGACTCTGTGTGTTTTGATTCAGTTATATTTTGGTCAATCTAGCGGGGGGGGGGGATTACTGGGCAAGAGACGAGTCAATCACTCAAGTGGGGGGGGGGCCGGAGAAGAGGCGGGGCTACTAATATCCCTGCCCATAGAAAGTGCTGATTGGAGAAACGTTTGTTTTTTCTACTGCTGGTTGGTGGTAGGAGTATTTCCCCACCCAAGAAATGTTATCACGTGACCGTCAACTTTCACCCAGAGTGCCTCTACCACGCGACTTCCCCTTAGCAACCGACTGGCCGCGCTTGGTTCCCTTAGTAACCGGGCGAAGCGTCCCCTGCGTGGAAGCAGTCGGGCGGCGGGCGCTTGAGACCGTGAGACCTTGGAGCGGAGACCGCGGGAGGACTCGCAGGGGCAGACAGATCATCGGTTTAACGCTTTCCTCTGACCTTTTTTTCTGGGAGTCGGCCCGGCCTTCCTCACCTGTAAAACGAGCACACAGGTTCTTGGCCAGCCACTTCACGGCCGCGCTGAGACACTGGGCTTTCGGGCCTGTGGATGAGAAAGTTTTTTTTTTGACGCATTTCCTCGGGGAGCAGGGCCCGAAGAGGTTTTTTTTTTAGGGGCTCCATCCGCCGACCTCCTGGCCTGATCCCTTTTATCGAAACAAAGGTACCCGGTCCACTGATAAGTTCTTCGAGTATTTAACCCTCATATCCGTCCTCTTAAACTGTCATGAAATTGTTTCTGTTCTTTATTTGTATTCTTCACCTGGTGCTGTATAGAGTTCCATTCCTCTCTCTTCTCGGTAGCTCATTGTACGACTTTGGACAATTTCCTTCCCCTCCCGGGCCTCAGTTTCCCTCTCTGGGAAATGAGGGAATTAGGACTCCTTTCTCCAGTGGCTTCCAGAGCTGACATGCAGTTAAGTAATGAAGGTGCACTAAGTACCCAGTAAGCACTCAGTGAATAGGTGATTTTCTCTTAGTAATCCATGGCCAGTAGGGGCTATGTTTTTCAGATTCAATTGATCGCAAGTTCTTGCTTCACAGGACAATTCTGGTCTTGTTTCTCCGTGAGGAGGCTGCTCCATTGGCAGTGGTGTAGAACTCTCTGCTGCTTTCCACGTCTCCTACCTCTGGTCTTCACCACCAATACTGTTGTCAGGCAAGTCAACAGGAACCCAAATTGGGTGGTAAATTATTTTTTTTTTAAAGATTTTATTTATTTATTTGAGAGAGAGAGAGAGAATGAGAGATAGAAAGCACGAGAGGGAAGAGGGTCAGAGGGAGAAGCAGACTCCCTTGCTGAGCAGGGAGCCTGCTGCGGGACTCGATCCCGGGACTCCAGGATCATGACCTGAGCCGAAGGCAGTCGCTTAACCAACTGAGCCACCCAGGCGCCCCTGGGTGGTAAATTATTGATAAAAGCCCCTTTAGGGGAAGAGTGGTCGGGCCTTGGCCCTGACCCAGAACAGCTGTGAGAAACGTTGTGCGTTGTGACAATGAAAATCCACAGTGCCCTGGGTACGGTTGAGTCATGATTAAGAGAATGGGCTCTGGAGTCATGGTCCCCTGCCTCTGCTATATGCCATATAGATGTATGGACTTAGGCATCTTACTTAACCTTTCTAACTAGCTTCTGGGTTGGTTGGTTGGTTTTAATCTGGAAACTGCAGATGATTAGTCCTACATATAAGTCAAGTTCCTGGAGATCTCTCAGAGCCACATCTTACTGCCACCCTGCTTACGACTCTTGCTGATCTCAGTATGACAGCCAGAGTGAGCCTCTTAAAAGTAAAAGCTGAGGGTGCCTGGGTGGCTCAGTCGTTAAGCGTCTGCCTTCGGCTCAGGTCATGATTCCAGGGTCCTGGGATCGAGCCCCACATAAGGCTCCCTCCTCGGGGGGAAGCCTGCTTCTCCATCTCCCACTCCTGCTTGTGTTCCTGCTCTCGCTATCTCTGTTTCTGTCAAATGAATAAATAAAAGCTGATCACGTCACTGCCCTTATTAAGCCCCAGGAGGGATCCTAGGATAATAAACTCCCGTGGCCCCCTCCAGCCTTGTTTAACTTCAGCCCAAATGGAATATGGCTTGTTCTCTCCTACCTCCGGGCCCTCGCTGTGCAGTTCCCTCTTCCTTCTTTTCTACTCCTGCTTCAGATCCCAGCCCTGTCTCCCCTGGCCAGGCCAGGTGCCTCTAATGTATGCTGTCCTCGTTCCATACATCTACAAACTTGTCATGGTCTGTCAAATATTTGTATGATGATCTGATTCACGTCTGAAACAGAGGGAAGGAGATCTGTTTTATTCACGGCATGTAGTAGCTATTCATGACGTGTGTGGGCTGAATAAATGATCTTAAACAAATGTAGGAGGGAGGACATCCATTTTTACAGACGAGAAATTAAAGGCTTAGACAGGTGAGGTTAGTTGCCAAAGGATGCACACCCAGGTTCCAAATCCTGCCCTCATGTGCTTAACAAAGAGCTTGCCTCACAGCCACTCCACATTGAGTAGTGATTGTGGGCTTGACGGAAAGCAAGCCTGATCCGTCCCAGGTGCCAGGCCTAGATGAAGTGGGAGTGATGAGAAGTCAGTTACGGTTTTGAAATCGGAATTAAGAAGCATTTCCCAAAGTACAGCACTTTTCTTTGAGAAAGCACAAACACTTTTGCAGGTAACATCTGCCAAACACTGCGCATTAAAATTTCCCCAAAGGCAAGTTGGTGTCAGGGTATGGGAAATCTTAGGAAAAAATGTTTCAAAAGAGCGAGGAAATGGAAAGAGGGGGAGAGGACTGAAAACGTCTTTGGGAGTTGACTCATTCACTCTAAGGAGTCGGAGCCAGTGTTGAGAGCCTGGAGAGAGTGGGAGGGCGGAAGGCGCAGGTGGAGAAGCAGCAAGGCGGGGGTAGCACTTGGGAGTGGGAGTGGGGCTAGGGGAGGCTTTGGCTCCTCAGGGGCAGAAGGAAAGGACACACGACAGTTGGACGCACAGGGACATTTGATCACGGACAGCCCAGAAATGGCAGACGCATATTTATATAAGCTGCATCCAAGTGGATGGTGGGGGAGGGCGGAGGAGGGCAGTGACAGTTTCTAAGACCAGGTGGCAGGATTGCTGGGCCCACCCCAGTCTGCCGTGGACATCATCACCCCAACACCAGAGGTCTCTCCAGCAGCGCTCAGTGGAATGATACAGGGACTGCCCAGCATCAGGGAAGAGGCCTGGGCGTTGGGGACCAAGAAGGCAATGGTAGATGGTGAAGCCAGCAGGGAGGAGAGAAACCGGGCTGGGAAGTAGGAGGGAGGACTGAGTTTCCAGAGGGTTCAGGAGGCCGAATCTGGGAGCCTCCCATAGAGTGTGCCTTCCCGGAAGGGTCCAGCCCTTCTGGATGTTCTCACTCTTCGGTTGGTAAGTCTGGGAATGAGGTCACGGTGCCTAGGCTTCCCGGGGCGGTGGCTCTGTCCGGCCAGGAACAGCATCCTGAGGTCAGCCATTTGCCTGCAGCGTCTCAGCCAGATCTTTTGGCCCATTAGCAGCAGAAACCTACTGGACTCGGTTTAAGTAAAATCAGATTTAATGCGAGAAGTCAGGAAACTCTCATGGGGCATGGAATTAGGGTCATGAGGGGCAGGAAAGTCAGCAAAGACTGGGTCAGCCTGTCGGCCCTTTTGTCTTATTTTCTGCTTCACCTCGGTTCCCATTTCTGTTTCTCTCTGTCCATCTGCCTCATCTTCCTCTTGGTTCTCTCTGCTTAACCGCATGTCTGGCTAGCCGGTGACGCCCCCCCAGCTCCCCCCCAGCTCACACAGCCGGCTCTGATGGGACTTTCCCTCCTGCTGCCCCCAAGTTCACATTTCTCGGGGAGAGAACAGGAATGGCCAGCTTGGGTCAGTGTCCACCAATCTCCACGCACTGAGCAGCTTGTGGGGAGACGTAGGGGGTCTCTCAGGGAAGGAGAGCGGCAGGCTGCTCTGCCTGGCAGGGGCTGCCAAGGATCCTGGGCAGCCGCTGGCGGCAAGACACCAAATGAGGCTGGCTGAGGAAAGCCAGAGGCCGAAGACGGCCACAGCTGTAAGGGGAGCTGAGCTCCAGCTGAGCTCCAAAGAGACCAGCATGGGCATCAGTCTTCTGGGGAGGGGGGGGTAGGGTCACGGCCGTGCTTGTGGGACCGAGGGGTGCACCCCTGCAGGTGGGCGCCAGGCAGAACGGGGGCAGATGGTTGCTGGAAAAGGCCTGGAGCAGCCTTGGCGCAAAAGTACTAGCCCCTAGGTGCAGCGGGCCAGGGAGTGGGAGGAGGCGGCCCCAGAGCATCCGTGACTGGCACCATGCTCCACAGTGCCTTAAAGAGACCCCAGCCAGACCCTGTCCTCAGACAAAGGGAGAAGCAGACGGTGGAAGAGGAATGTGGTGTCTTTTAGGGAAAATGCAGAGGCTGTACGACTCCGTGGAGCCGAGAGTGATGGACGAGCACATGCTCAAGCTGGCTGTGGAGGAACAAGGCCCGCAGGAGGAGGCTGGGCCGCTGGCCAGGCAGGAGGGCATCCTCTTCAAGGATGTCCTGTCACTGCGGCTGGACTTCCAAAGTGCGTATCCTGGGCTGGGGTGGGGGCATCAGGCAGCCCAGCATCCCGCCCCCGGCTTCTCTGCCCCAGAATTCCACGCAGAGTCCGTGATCTCGGGACCCCCATGGACATTTGGGCCTGCCTGGGTGAGAAGGCGTAGGGGTGACACAGAGTGTTTTAAGGCTTAATACGGCGTGTCATTAGCACTTACATATCCCCCCCACCCCTGATTCTGAATAATAAGACGAGAGATCAAATTCCCCCCCTCTAAATCTAGGTGAACCCAAAGGCCACGCTGCTTCTGTCAGACTCCACTGGATTCTTTGGAGCGGGGTCCCTGGCAGGTAGAACCCAGGAAGGTGGCTCCACGCGGCCAGGGAGGAGCCATGGGGAGCAGGGGGCTGTGTGCTGGGGCAGGAGACAGGAGGGGCACCTCAGCAGAAGCAGGACAGCCTAGTGGGAAGATATGGCTCAGGACCAAACCGGTCCTGGGCGCCCAGTGTCCTGATCTGTAAAATGGGAAGATTAGAGTCCGTGTCTCAAGCGCCGGTGGGAAGGAGAAAACAGGGCAACACGTGCACAGCGCCTGGCTCACTCGAGGGGGCCTGTGAGTCAGGACAGAGGGGGTGCGAGAGGGAGCGAGAGAGGTGGCCAGGGGCCTGCACTTCTCGGGCAGGTGGGCCACAGCGGAGTCACCCGGGCTGATTCGCAGGCCTGCTCTGTCCTGGGTTTCTCCCCTGGCCTGCCGGGTCAGCCGGGAGACAACAAAGAACACAGCAGCCTGGGCAGACCATGGGGACACAGCAGTGGGCAAGGCAGGCCGAGCCCTGGCCTAAGCCTCACGAAACCGACAGGCCTCCCCAGAGCGCGGCCTCCACGGCCGACCACCCAGAGCAGGGAGGGACCCTGGGCCTCTGCCACCTCAGCCGTGGGGGAGGGTTAAAAGGATTGCAGAAGGGCTGTCACCTGAGGGGCGTTAGCCTCCTTTGGCTTATCCCCTCCCCTGCCGAAGGTTCATTGCCCTGGTATTTACCAAATGATCGTTATATGCCAGGTGCTGTCCTAGGCACTAGGGATTCAACGGTGAACGAAAAGGACAAAAAAACCCCGTCCTCATGGAACTGACATTCAGGTGATGGGAAAAATAAAGAAGGGAAATAATGGTGTATGCTAAAAATATGTGCTATGGAGGAAAATCAAGTAGAGGAGAAAAGGGGTGAGGGTAGGGTGCCATGTTTTATTGGGTGGTCAGAGGCCTTATCAAGAACGTGACAATTGGGGCGCCTGGGTGGCTCAGTCAGTCAAGTGTCTGCCTTCAGCTCAGGTCATGATCCCGGGGTCCTGGATTGAGCCCCGCATCAGGCTCCCTGCTCGGTGGGAAGCCTATTTCTCCCTGTCCCACTCCCCCTGCTTATGTTCCTGCACTCTCTCTCTCTCTCTGTCAAATAAATAAATAAAATATTAAAAAAAAAAAGTGACAACTGAGCAAAGACTAAAAGGAAGTGAGGGAAAGAGCCACGTGGAGATCTGGGGGAAAGCATTCCAGGCAGAGGGAGCAGCCAGTGCAAAGGCCCTGAGGCAGGCAGTCCTGTATGGAGACTTGTCAGAGAGGTGGTGGGGTCAGCTAGCATCAGCCTTGGGGGCCAAGAGCTGGTGTTTCGCTTTTATGGTGAGTGAGGTGAGAGCCCTGGGAGGGTCCTGAGCAGAGGAGGGACAGGCTGGGACTTAGGTTTCTATAAGATCCCACTGACTGCAGGAGGATAGAGTGGGGGGCCTCAGGGCCAGAGCAGGGAGACTAGTGAGACAGTTGTGATCCAGGGAATAATGACAACGGGCTGAGACCAAGCCGGGCACAGTGAAGGCGGATCCCATGTCTATGTTGAAGATTAAATGGACTCTTTGGGCAGACCTGTCGTGCTGGTAACTCATTTAGAGCTATCAAATACATCCTGGGTTTTGTTGTGTTGTTTGGCTTTTCCACGTGAATGGCTGATGCCTTGGGAAAAGCCCACACATACGTGTGCAAGGCAGAGCACCCAGAGTGTGGGAGCCATGGAAGTCGGCCATAGCCATAGCCAAGAGCTGTCAGTCTGAGACCAGGGCCAGAAGGCCTTCTGGAAAATCCAGAGGCATCTGAGAGCGTAGGTGGAGATGGTGGCTGGTATCATTCTGGGAAATCTGGCCTCAGAGAGCTGGGAACAGACAACAGTCTCACCTGGCCCCGGGAACCCGGCAGAGGCAGGGCTCTGGGTCAGAGTAATGCTGTCCACCCATCCCCACCCACACCTGGCTTGCGGAGGGCACCCAGGAGGGACATCCTTCCTCCCCCAGGCCCTCACAACCCCATGGTAAACCCTGCCCCTCCGAATGAATATTGAAACCTCTACCCCCAGTGTGTGGTTTTTTTTTGTACCTTTTTTTTTCTTTTACCCCTTTCACTTCTATATTTTTTTCAGTTCTTTTCATAAGTGTAGTCTAATTTTTTAAGTTTTTGAAATCATTACAGAAGCAAATAGAAAAAAAAGGGGCAGATACACAACAGGGCTATTATGGCTTCTAGAAAAAAAACGGGACAAATTTAGGCCTCTAGAATTTTACGTTACACGGTGTACACATATTTATACTTAAGCGTAATTCAGAACTTCTCGGGCTGTCAGTGACAGAAACCGAACTCGGCCTGGCACGAGGAGCAAAAGGAGTGAGTTGGTTGTATGCCTCTGAAGGGACCACAGGTCGGGTGCTTCAGTGACATCAGGAACCTGCCTGTCTGTTGTATGGGTGACTTAGCCCATTCCCCATTGATGGACATTGGGGTCCCCCCAACTTTCTGCCTCTCATGTGCCTATAGGCGTTTCTTTGGGTAACATACCCAAGTGTGTCTTTACAGACAGATTCCAAATAGAGAAATTTTGCACATCAGAGGGCACAGACATTACCTATTTCAGGAAACTTGGCCAAATTGCCCTCCGAGATGGCTGAACGAGTTGGTTGACGCCCTCACCACCAGCGCACAAAAGGGTGGGTGGTACAGGCTTTCACCCTGCAGCCTTGATTCTATTTGTCACACTGTGGAAGGAAGGACACTGTCCCAAGGTGTTACAGCCTCCTGGGCAGCCCCCCAGCTGGGCCTAGAGGCAGCACAACTGAGTCCCATGCCCGGGGCAGGTCCGGCCCACCTTCACAAGGACCCCGCTACACCTCCCCCCACCCCCTAGGCTCTCTCGGTCCTGCCGAGGTCCTGAGCAGGAGCCCCGATCACTGCCCTCTATGCAGTAATGGAGACTCCTGGGCGCTTGGCCCACATCCCCAGGGCACCCGAGTCCTCCAGGGCAAGGCGGTGGAGTTGCGGGGCCTTTTGTATGGTTAGCATTGGCCATCTGGATTCTCCAGTATGCTGGCACTGAACTCTAACCCGAGGCCTGGGACCAGCCAAGGCACCTCCTCCAATTGTTTCAGACATCCTCCACATAGACAGCCTCTGGCAGTTTGAGAACTTGAGGAAGCTACAGCTGGACAACAACATCATTGAGAAGATCGAGGGCCTGGAGCGTCTCGTGCACCTGGTCTGGCTGGGTAAGGGCCCCTCCTGCCTGGGTGTCCAAGCTAATCCAAGGTGACGCCCGGCCAAGGTTATTGCCTCCCGGGCGATTTTCTGCTGGCGGCCCAGCATCAGCCAGGGTACAGTAGAAGGCCCATCTACTGGGAACAAGAAAGCCACTCTTTTTAAAAGCCTGGGGCCTTGGCTGGGCAGAGCCAGCAAAGATGTGTTTGGACGCGCCAGGCCAAAATATTCTGACCCACCTGCCAAACCTCCCCAGCTGGAAGAGGGTCTGGGGAGCAGCCTTAGACTCCTTCTAGTTATTCTAGACTCAGTGGGCCCTGCCAGCCAGGGGGCCCAGAGCAAACCAGAAACAAGCATCGCAGCTGCTAACGTGCTTGGAGCACTTACCACCTGCTAAGCACGGGCCTGTGTGCTTTCCACGTGAGACCTGTTAATCCATACAGCATCCCCAGTGTGGAGCTGAGCAAACTGAGGTCACAGTGACTAGTGGGGGCATCAGGCTCCCAGTCTCACTCCGGAGCCCTGGCCCACATGGCTAAGGCCTCACGGGTTGTTTTTGTTTTTTTTTTTAAGATTTTATTTTTTTATTTGAGAGAGAATGAGAGAGAGAGAGCACATGAGAGGGGGGAGGGTCAGATGGAGAAGCAGACTCCCCGCCAAGCAGGGAGCCCGATGCGGGACTCGATCCAGGGACTCCAGGACCATGACCTGAGCCGAAGGCAGTCGCTTAACCGACTGAGCCACCCAGGCGCCCCCTCAAGGGGTTTTGATGACCTGGGAGAAGGGGCTGGCCGGAGAGCTCTTTACCTGGTGGTCTGATGTGGCCCTCACAGCAATCCTAACAGGTGAGTGTTATGATCCTAAAGTGCAGAAGAGGAAATGAGGCTCTCCGAGGTCAAGGCACTTGCCCAAAGCTCCAGCAGAGGGGGTGTGCAAGCCCCCATCTGCCTGACCCCAAAGCCCACGCTCCCTCCATCCTGTCCGGCTGCTCTCCTTCACCGGCAACTCCGAGTTGCCAAAATACTCCCAGCTACGGTGGTTCTGACAGTGCCCAGCCCACAGCAGCCCCACGGACAGGATCACGTTGCCTTGTCACAGACCCAGCAGCGGATGCTGGGGGAGGCAGAGGCGGCCCACAGCCGGGTCTTTTGCCCCAGGCAAGCCCTCCTGGTACCCCAGCACCCATTAACGCTGAGTCTGGGCGTGGCAGCCCACCTGCATTGCCAGGAGTCCTTGTGTCTATAGGAGATGAAGGGGTGAAGAAGGTGCCGGGTCAGCCCAGACCCTGAGCCGTGCCCCCTCCGGAAGGCCTGCCAGGTTCCAGCTGTCTCAACGGCAGGCTTTGAGGCGAGAGCTACTAGGCCCAGGTGTCTCTGACATCAAACGAGTGCCGCAGGCCCCATGAGCTACTCCTGCGATACCCAGGGTTCCGTGGGGGTGAGAGAACAGAGGGGAAATTTCTGGAAAGAGGTCAGGTTATCCCCCTCAAAGAGTCAGAAGCTGGCCTTTGTCCGGCCACAGTGCCAGTCATCCAGGGACCCCACAACAACCAGGAAGAGTTGAGTCCCTCAGGTGCACAGGGGTGGGGGAGATGGTGCCCCCCCCGGGGTTCAGCAGCCTCCACCTCACATGAGGCCCGGCTGGTGGCCCACGGTGTTGGCTGTCCCAGGGCTGAGGCTGTGCTGGAGCCAACTAGAAGTGGCTCTCCAAGGCTGATTATGCACATCTCGTCCCAGCTGTGCATTCAGGGATGTCAGGCTGCTAGCTTGAAATTGGCCACCATGGGAGGATTTACACCACAGAGATTGCAAGCACTGCAATTCACGGCAAACCCCTCCCCACCCCACCCCCGGGCTCCCAGCCCCCTTGTTAAACACTTACCAGAACACAGCCAGTTCCAGTGCGGTGGGGCCAGGCCTCCAAAGAACAGAACAGGCTGCATGGTGAGAAAGGGATTGGGCAGCCCTGGCATTTGGCAGACCCCAGTTCAATCCCAGCTCTGGCCATACACTGACTTTACACCAGTTCCTGCAGCCCTCTGGACCTCTCTGTGCTGGCTGATCGTGGGCATATGCCACCAGGCCCCTAGAATCTCTGTTTCTTCATGCATCAAACACGGATGATGAGACCTTTGCTGTGGGAGTTAAATAAGGTGATGCACTTAAGAGCCAAAGAGACAATAAGTTACCAGTAGTTTCAACTGTCAGCAGGTGAGCATGCCCTGGTAGGCCAGGGGGGGCTGAATTCAGATGTGGACAGACTGACTTCCCAAACCGCCATTTGCATGTGACAACATGCAGCTATCATGAGCGTGTTTCAAAGCTCATGAAAAATTTCCAGTTTGCGCCTATGGGCCATTGGTGTTCCACGACAGGCTTGCAGCTCCAACCCCAACCGACCCCGAAAACCCACAGTGGGGGGTACAAGCAAGTTTGGGCTAGAGAGGGCCTAGCATCTCCGTTGGGGGGCGGAGTTAGGGTTTTGGAGGAGCCCGAGTCAGCTGTGATGTAGCTGGAAGATCGGGCCTGTCCAGGGAGGAGCCCCGGATGAAGTCTGGCACCACCGAGGTTAGCTGGGTGGCTTTGAGCAAATCACTGAGCCTTTCTGAGCTGCAGCTTCCCGACGATCACATGGGGAGAGAAATTCCAGACTGGCACTCAGGGCTATTGTCAGAGGATTTTTTTTATAAACTGGTAAATGCTAAGCAGATAGGCAATATTATTTTTTTTAAAGATTTTATTTATTTTTAGAGAGAATGGGGGAAGGGGCAGTGAGGGAGAGAGAATCTCCAGCAGACTCAGTGCTGAGCCCAGAGCCTGATGCAGGGCTCGATCCCACAACCCCAAGATCATGAGAGCCGAAATCAAGAGTCGGACGCTTAACGGACTGCTTAACCGACTGAGCCAGCCAGGTGCCCCAGGTAGCATTATTCTTAAAATGCCCATAGATGTGAGTGAAGGAGGCCCTCCAAACAGCCTCCTCCCACTCAAAGATGCACCGTTTTGGACCTGCCATTCATCATTTCCATCCCAGAACAACCACAGAGCACAGGCAGGAGTATGTGCCCTCATGTGCCCAGCCAGGAAGACGAGCGGTAGAACAGGAGAGGGCAGTAATAGTTGGAGAGCACAGGAAAGAATCCAGGCATGGCTTCTAGAAAACCACAAGCTGTCAGACAGTGAGTCTGTTACTGGCCTGTCGGCTTGGTGCTATCTCCCAGGGCGTGAGTAGCCCCGATGGGTCTGTTTCAAGACAGTCCACCCACTGGACCCTCACAGCCCTCTGCCTTCCAGACCTGTCCTTCAACAACATCGAGGCCATCGAGGGGCTGGACACACTGGTGAACCTGGAGGACCTGAGCTTGTTCAACAACCGGATCTCCAAGATTGACTCTCTGGATGCCCTGGTCAAGCTGCAGGTGTTGTCGTTGGGCAACAACCAGATCGGCAACATGATGAATGTGAGTTCTCGGGCCCGGGACTGGAGTGGCCGCCCTTGCCGTTCCTGCTGTCCTCCCGGCCGGGCACTCTAGATCATCAGAGTAGCCGGGGACGGGGGAGGGGCATCTGAGGCCAAGAGAAAGGTAGACTTAGCCCCCCAGATCACCCCCTTCTCCTAGAAAAGCCAGAAATCCAGACCATTCTACCAGAGATTGGATCATGTTTAAACACCATGTTTAACCCATGCTTAGCCCACCGGTGGAGGCCAGTTCGTACCTCTCTGCCTCTTCCCCTGAGCCCCACACTCACTCGAACATTTGCTGCGATGTGGACCTATTGGATGTGGGGCCTTGGGCCTGAGCTCAAGGGTACAGAGACAAACAAGGTCTGGTCCCTTTGGGGGTGCCCAGCACACACCCATATAATCAAGGCATGAGGTGACAAGAAGCCAGCGTCAGCCCAGGGCATTGGCAATGTGGGGGAAGGCAAGGTGACCCCCCTGCACGCCCCTAGAACAGGTGAGCTGACCTCTGGGTCCCCTGACTGGTATGTTCTCTCAGTCCCCGTCTGTATATTCTTACAGCACTTACCCCCAAGCGGTAACAATTTTATTTACTTTCTACACCATTCCTCTTCCCTGCCACTCAAATGTGAGCCCTTGCTGCAAGGGGAGGGACTGCGTGAGCTCTGTTCCCACTGTGTCCCCAAGGCCTAGCACATGCCTGAGGCCTGGTAGGTGCTTAATAGTGTTTGTGGAACACATAAACACAGAGCGGAGAGAAATTCCTTCGGAAAGCATGCTGGGTTTCTTCTTTTGCATAGTACAGTGTCTGGGTGTTCAGAGCATGCTGCCAAGGGAAGCATTAGCTACATTGTTGACTTTTCTCCCGCTTTACTGAAATAGAATATAGGAAGAATAAATGGCAGGTGGCGAATGTCCCTCTGTCATCCAGTTAATCCAAGGTTACTACAAATAGGATTCCATTTATTTCAACAGATCTGGCCCTGACACAGGGTTTACAAGGGAAAAGGCACACCTGCTCCGTGTGACCAACAGTAACAACGACCACCACCACCATTTACGGAGCGGGCAAGAGGCCCACCTCTAAATGCTTTCTGGAGCTCATTTCCTTTGGTTCCTCCACACCTATGACACACATAATAGCATCCTTATACCCATACTACAGATGAGGAGACGGAGGCTCACAGATGTTAGGCAACTTGCCCAAGGTCCCACAGCCGACCTTTGAACCCAGGTCTGCTGATCAGGACAGCCGTCCAGCCTGGAACCCCCAGCCCACTCCTCGCTTGTCGCTCCAGCCACACTGATGGTGTCCTGGCCAGTCTGTGGACACTGGCAGAGGGCCGAGGGGAGAGGCCACCGGGGCTGGTTTCTGCTTTGCGGCAGTCAGGCAAATGGGTTGCTCTCCCCCCTTCTCCCCAGATCATCTACCTGCGGCGGTTCAAGGCCCTGCGGACGCTCAGCCTCTCTGGGAACCCCATCGCAGAGTCAGAGGATTACAAGATGTTCATCTATGCCTACCTTCCTGACCTCAGGTACCTGGACTTCCGGCACATTGACGACCACATGGCAAGTGTCTCCCTCGGGGTCTCCCAGCTCTGGTGCCTTTCCTGAGAGGAATGGAGCCCATGCCTGGGGGGCACTGAAGTGACAGGGAGTGCCCGGGAGAGCCCAGCAGAAGCGGGGAGGAGGACTGGCCCACAGGTCTCAGTGCTGGCCCTGCCTGGCTTCGGCCCCGGAGCAGAGCACAGCGCCTGGGTGGACTGCGCCAGCTTCTGGGTCTGGGGCCCTCTGCTTGCCAGGGCCTTCTGGAAGGTCCACAGAGATGGGGTGGGGTCAGAGAGCTGCCCCTCCTCAGACCATGGCTTTCTCTTGTCCCATTTTTTTTTTTTTTTCTGCGGCTTGAACTCTAATACTCTCAAGTATTTTTTTTTTTTTTCATTTAGACAATAATTTGAAAGTCAGCATGGGCTCCAGTCCTTGGAATAGGCCACGGAGCTGTTGGGGTGTGTTTCAAAGCTCATTATAGAACCAGGGGACAGCCTAACACTGCACGACTCCAAAGGCATTCACTCCCTGGCCCCCAGAAGTTTCCATAAAGGGCAGATAGCCGAGCCTGGGCATCCCCATTGTGCTATAAGGAAACAAAGTCTCTTTTCACGATTCCGAGACTTGCCTAGAAGCATCAAGATAAATAATGAGTCAGAGGAAAGCAGAGCAGAGTTCTGCAAAGCAAGGGCACCTGAAACTCCCTGTCACTTGGTGCTGCAGGGCTTGGGCCCCAGAACAGCTGGGCCGGGACATAGGCCACCAGGGGAGGGGCCAGGATGTCTCCCGGGTCTCCAGCTGGAGTGCTGGATGGCTGGGGGGCCGCTCGCCTCAGCGGGACTATGGGAGGACAGAGGTACAAGGGCAGGCTCTTGAGGTACCCCTCAGCTCTGTGGTGCTCTCCTGGAGGGCTCCCCCTGTTTTCAGCACGCCACTTTTAAGTCGATGCCCTGGACTGTGCCTGAAGGCTGGCCCTCCCCTCAATGTAGGGGAACAGAGCACAGTCCCCACAAAGCACACAGAACGGGCAGGGGCTGTGAATTTGCTTTGTGTGGGGAGGGGGGCCAGGAAGCAGGGCTGTGTTGGGGTTTAGGACTTATCCAGGTGAAGGTGGAGGCCTGTGGGGAAGCTGGAGCAGTTTTCGGCAGATTTTCTGATGTGGTCAGCAGTTTGGGGATCTGGTGACTGGTGTGCAGAACAGGGGAGAGATGTGGGATGGGGGGGTTGCGGAGAGAGGCAGAGGGCAGGGCTGGGGGAATGGAGGAGAGAGGAGGGCTCAGATACTAGAGACTCTTAAAAATTCAAATGTCCTTGGGGCGTCTGGGTGGCTCAGTAGGTTAAGCGTCTGCCTTCGGCTCAGGTCATGATCCCAGGGTCCTGGGATGGAGCCCCACATCGGGCTCCCTGCTTGGTGGAGAGCTTGCTTCTCCCTCTCCCTCTGCCTGCCACTCTGTCTGCTTGTGCTGTCTCTCTCTCTGTCGAATAAATAAATAAAATCTTAAAAAAAAAAATTCAAATATTCTTATTAAAGTATCAATATGTAAGAAAACAATATAAGCATACAGCTCAATGAATAACATCTTTTTTTTTGGAAAGATTTTATTTATTTGAGAGAGCACGAGCGGGGTGAAGGGCAGAGGGAGAAGCAGGCTTCCCGCTGAAGAGGGAGCCCGACTCGGGGCTCGATCCCAGGAGCCCAGGATCATGACCTGAGCCTTAAGGCAGACACTTAACCGACTGAGCCACCCAGGCGCCCCGAATAACATCTTTTTTAAAAGGTTTTATTTATTTGAGAGAGAACGAGAGAGTACAAGCCTGCAGGAGCAGGGGGAGGGGGATGGGGAGGGGCAGAGGGAGAAGCAGGCTCCCTGCTGAGAGGGGAGCCCCATGCAAACTGGGACCCAATCCCAGGACCCTGGGATCATGACCTGAGCCTTAAGGCAGACGCTTAACTGACTGGGCCACCCAGGCATCCCTAAACAGCAGATCTTTAGAAGGATTTTAACTCTGCACTATAAGCCCTTTGCAGCCAAGGCCCAAGTGAAGGCACAAAACTACAATGATCCATATACTGACCTCATGTTCAGGAGTGAGGCTGGGATGGGCTTCAGGCAGCACAGGACAGTGGAAAGAAAGCTCAGAATCTGGAATCAGACAGACGCGGGGAGCTGCCCCTACCTTCCTTTGTGGCACCAACACACATATCCCACAGATACGTGAACATGCCAAGAGGGAAGGACACAGGCTGAGATGTACAAGGTGGGGTCTGTGGTTTGGGGATGGCTTCTCCAAGGCAGTGGTTCTGAGCTGGGATCTGTAGGATGGGCAGGGGTTGGCTGGTGAAGGAATGGCCTGGGCCGGAGGCAGAGCACATGCAGAGGCCTGTGGCAGGAGGTAGCACGGGGAGGGGGCCAGTAGCTGGAGCTCAGAGAGCCGGAGCAGGAGGGTGGCAGGCGGGGCCTTGCAGGCTATGGCAGGAGCTTGTCATTACCCTGTGCCCAAGAGGAAGTCCTACAAGGGAAGCAAGGGACTGACTGACAAGATCAGGTTTGCAGCTCACAGAGATTGCTCTGGCTGTTTCCTGGGGAGCAGTGGGCAGACTCGGTGGGGGGCCAGGGTGCGAGGGGGAGGCCGCCCAGGAGGCGGAGGCAGGGGTCCTGGCCAGAGAGGATGGTGAGACGTGATCAGGAGCTAGCATGACCAGGCCTGGGCGCAGCCTGGGTCTGATGGGCAGGGGAGGGTCCAGGAGGTCTCCCGGGTCTCCAGCTGGGGTGCTGGATGGCTGGGGGGCTGCCCACCTCAGTGGGACTACGAGAAGACAGAGGTCCATCTTGGACATGGTGAGTTGGCAGTGCTCTTGAGGCAGCCGGGGGAGAGAAGGATTCAGAAGCTCCCGTCTGGCTCTCAGAGGTAGGGTCTGGGCTAAGGGTAAAGACCACAGAGTGTCCTCTGAGGACGGAGCAATCAGACGTGCTTGTACTTGATGCCTACACACCCGGGGTGTGTAGAGTGAGCCTAGAGGGGTGAGGACTGAGCCCCAGGGGCTCCAGCAGTCTCTGGTGCCTATAGGGGGATGTGCAGGAGGGGCAGGAGGAGAGCCAAGAGGCGGCAGGGCACAGAGCCAAGGTCCGAGGCCCTTGTCACCAGGCCTGTGATTCAGGCAACTCAGTTGACCTCTCTCCCATGGTGCATCCCAGAGCCAGAACAGCCACTATGGAGAGCTGGGGGCACAAGTCACTGTGGCCCCAGGGCGTGTCCCACAGACCCTGCGTCTGCCTGTGCTGCCTTCCCCCATCTTCGGGGTCCTTCTCTAATTTCCCTTAAACTCAGAATACTTGGAAAAGGCCCCGAGGAAGCAAGCCATTCTTGTGCACGCAGCCTTCACTAGGGGGCTGTCCACACCCCGCCCAGGCTTGAGGGGACCACAGGACGGCAGAGGCCGGCGCGGCCCGGAGGCACCGAACAGGCCCCGGGAACAATGCCACTTCCCGTCTCCCCCCTCCCCCCCAGAAAGATCTGGCAAGGAGTAAGCACCAGTACAGCATTGACGGGCTGAAGCAACAAGAGCACCTCACCCAGGCCCGGCTGGACGATGAGCAGGCCCAGCAGGAGGAGCTGAAGAAGCACAAGGTACTCTGCTGGCAGGGGCCCTGCCGCCCGCCTCACGCTGCCCTGGTGCCAGGACGCCGGCCACAGCTTGTGGGCCCCATGTGACGAAAGTCTGCAGGGCCCAGGCTCCGGAAACCCCGAAAACCTGTCTTGATTGAGAACACCCCGACGGAGCATGTCCGTCATCCAGAGGCCAGCGCCCCGTCCCCGCCTTGCTGTGCCAGCCACCTGCCCCCGGAGCCAGCTGCAGCTCAGCCCGGACACCACCTGCCCCGTGTCCTCACCGGCGAGCCGGCTGCCGGCACGAGGCCCTGTGGACACGATCTGATAGAGCAGCTCCTTCTCTTGAACGCCCCCTGGGCAGCTCCCTGGCGGCCAGGAAGGTTCAAGTCCTTCCTCAGCACGGCCCCGGACCCCTTCCTCCCGATAGCCGGCACCCCTTCCTCCAGCCAGACCGAGCCCCACGCAACCTTGATGCCCCTGCACCTCCGCATGTGCCCTTCCCTGCCCTGCCTTCTTCGAGGGCTGAAGCCCCAGGGCAGCATCCCCTCCTCCACTCTCCATACAGTGTCCAGTGCCCCCGGTGCCCAGCGCAGGGCCCGGCCCACTGAGCCCTCGCCAGGGCCCGTGAGATGAATCCGAGTCCCCACCCCCCGAGCCCCACTGTGCTTCTGACCGTAGGTCGCGTTCGTCGAGCACCTGAACGGCTCCTTCCTGTTTGACAGCATGTACGCCGAAGACGTAGAGGGCAACAAGCTGGCCTACCTGCCTGGCGTCGGCGAGCTCCTGCAGGCATATCCTCCCAAGGTCACGTCCACCCCCTCTGGCAGAGCCTGGGCACCACACCAGCAGCCGGCAAAGGGCAGGTCCACTTCTGCTCAGGGCTCTGTTTCCCCATTTCCCCCAAACCCTAGAACATAAAACCCCTCCTTCACAGCAGTTACCCAAGGAGCAGTGAAGCACCAGGTCAGCTGAGCGGCATGGGGGAAAAGGCTGTCTAGATTTCAGGGGACTCACTGAGTCTCTGATCAGCGTGGCACGGGGTCTGCTGTGCTACACAAGCCAGGTTGTCAAAGAGGGAAAATTGACGTGTGTGGCTGTGGTACTAAGCCTCAGTACCTATATTTACTGGGTTCTGCTGTGTGCTTTGCATACCGTGTTTATAATTTCCCAACTGCCCACTAGATGGGTCCTGTGATTAATCCCATTTTATAGTTGGGGAAGCTAGACTTGGAGAGGGTGATTTGTCCAAGGTCATGCAGCTAGAAGCTGGGATTTGAGCCCTTGTCTGTGGGGCTAAGAGCCTACATCCTTTCCCCCAGTTGGCTGCTGCCCAGAGGACGTGATTGGCACTTGTCATCCTGGCTACGGGCAGGATAATAGCGCCATCCCTGGGTAGAAAGAAACTCTCTCTTGAAACCTCAGCGTTTTAGAAAGGGTGGGGGAGGGGACGGGAGGGGTGTGAAGCTAAGCAGAAGGTGACGAGCCAGGACTCTGGGCCAGCTACATGGGCTCCCGGCCAGGCTATGCCACCCACCAGCTGGGCGAGCTGGGTGAGCTGGGCTCACATCTGGGCTGTCGCGCCTGCCTGATCTCAAGGGCTCTGTGCTGCAGGTGAGGAAGCCGAGGCCCAGGGCAGGTGAAGTGGCTTGCCAGGGAGAAGCAGCAGCAGAGCTGGGACTTGAACCTGGATCTCTCTGCTTCAGGCCTGAGGTCCCCTGACCCCTGCAGGCTCCCTCAGCGTGTCTGCAGCAGCTGAGCACGGAGACAGGCCCCCAACAAAGGTGCCCCTAGAGAACACACCAGAGCTAGAACTACACTGGCTGGGGCTGGCTCCCCCTGGGCTCCTAGCCTCGCCCCGGCCCCTTTAGGTCCCCCAGGATGCCTCTCCTCTGCTCTGTAGTCCCCCCCACCCCCACCCCGAGGCCCCTGCTTCCTTCCCCGAGGCCAGTCCCACTCCTGAATCCTTCAGGCTGGGGATGGAGATGCCCCAGCACCACATTAGACTCCGAATCTCAACTCCCGGCCCCGCGCCAGGAGCTACCACCACCTCCGTCTTGCACCCTGCCACCAGCCTGCCCCCAAGACGGCCAGCAGCCTCCTTAACGGCCACTCACCTACAAGGACAAATTCGTCATCATCTGCCTGAACATTTTTGAATATGGCCTGAAACAGCAGGAAAAGCGGAAACTGGAGCTTGACACCTTCAATGAGTGTATCCAGGAGGCCATCCAGGAAAACCAGGAGCAGGGCAAACGCAGGATTGCCAAGTTCGAGGAGAAGCACTTGCTGGTAGGCTCTGCCCCTCCCTGTCCTCTCCCTACCCCCTGCTCCGGACGCTGACCCCACTCCACGGGCCTGGCCCCACTGCTGGGGATACGCACCACCTACCTCTGACGAGCCCTAAGACCCGTGGTCATTGTCCCCATTTGCCAGCGGTCATGCAGCTCAGTGGCAGATGCAAGTTTAGCCTTCCCCCACCACCAGCCACAGCTCCAACACCACACCAGGGCTGAGCCCAGGGTGAGGCCTGTGGGCCTCCTTCACCTAAAACACGTCATCATTACCGTTAACAACAGTGTTACTGTTACCACTCCTGTTACAATGACAAGGACAATAACTACTACTTCTCTTTTGGTCATTCGTTCATTTAGTAGACATTTTCTGAGCCCCCACCCCCACCCCGCTCAGTGCCTTGTCCTGGGAAGCTGGACCCCTGCTGGACATGGCTCTTGCCCTTAGTGAGCTCCCACCTGTGCGGGGTGCAGACCCAGGCCCTCCCTACTGCACTGGGGAGCCCAGGGAGCCTTGAGGGTTCCTGGAGGGACCTTAACTCAGGCTGAGGCTCACAGGACAAAGAGAAATGGGCCAGGGATGGTGGAGGAAGGGCATTCCAGCCGAGGGAGCAGGCCCAGGTGTTCAGGACCTGCTGACCCCAGGCCACTTGGCTCAACCCAAGCAGCAGCCCTGTGTGCTTCGTGGGACTTGTTTCTTGCAGTTAGCATTATTATGAGAGAGAGAGAGAGAGTATTTATTTATTTGAGAGAGCGAGAATGAGAGAGAGAGAGAGAGCACATGAGAGGGGGGAGGGTCAGAGGGAGAAGCAGACTCCCCGCTGAGCAGGGAGCCCGATGCGGGACTCGATCCCGGGACTCCAGGATCATGACCTGAGCCGAAGGCAGTCGTCCAACCAACTGAGCCACCCAGGCGCCCCAGCATTATTATTTTAGAGAGCGAGAGAGCATGCTCAGGTGTGAGTGGGGTGGCGGGGCAAAAGAAGAGAGAGAGAGAGAGAATCTTAAGTAGGCTTCACGCCCACCAGGGCAGAGCCCCACACGGGGCTCGGTCTCACCACCCTGAGGTCATGACCTGAGCCGAAATCAAAAGTCAGACACTTAACCGACCGAGCCACCCAGGCACCCGTAGTTAGCATTATTTTTAGAGACCAATTCTTGTTCTAAATCACAGATCTTCGTGAGACTCTAAGGAAAGCTGTGGACCTTCTTTCTCCTCAAAAAACTGTCCATGCAGGGCGCCTGGGTGGCTCAGTCGGTTAAGCGTGGGCCTTCAGCTCAGGTCCTGATCCCAGGGTCCTGGGATCGAGCCCCGCGTCGTCAGGCTCCTTGCTCCGTGGGAGGCCTGCTTCTCCCTCTCCCTCTGCCCTCTCCTCTCTCTCTCAAAATAAATTTTTAAAAAATTATTAAAAAAGAAAAAAAAACCCAACTGTCCATGCACACCAAGTCTGTGAGCACTTGCCTGCAGTGTCAGCGGCTTCAAGGTACCCACAAAGCCAGTCCTGGTTGGGAACTCTTAGTTTGAAGTCAAGCAAAATCCCCTGATAAGGCACGTTCAGATATAAGGCGGCCGGCGATGGGCCCCCGTGTGCTTCCCCGCCCTCCTCACCTCCTCACTCCGCAGGCCCTGTTCTTGTCCCTGGTCTTGTCTGGTTGGCCTCGCCAGTGACCCCACACTCTGTGTGATTTAAGCCTCGAGACCCTCCTCCTCAGGTTATGGGCAGGGGTGTTACTGCATTCAAGCGGAAGTTCAAGCCTGTCAGCAGAGGAACACATTTGGCTCACATGTGTGTTTTGTTTGGCCTGCAGAGGCTTTTAAAACGTCTTGAACATCCTACTGACATTCTAAACGGGAAGATTTCACAGAAAAATTGTGGTTGCCAGCTTCTCTGGAGGCAGTTGTCAGCAGGGCCTCAGTGGCGGTTGTCCCCTCTGGACAAGCCACATTTCCAGTCCCCCGATCCCTGTCTGGCACATCCTCCGTGACATTTATCTGGCCCCCAAAGCCACTGGATTCAGGATGTCTGGACGCCAGCCAGCTGGCTCCTCCTGAAGCCCTAGGCCTGGGCCCAGCCTCCTCAGCAACAAATCCCCCCCCTGGAGAAGCAGGACATGGGCCAGGCTACTGTCAGTTCTCCTGCTGGCGCCAAGCCTGACTCCCTGACGTCCAGGGCGGAGGTCTTCAAAGCACGCCTGCTCCCCCTGCTTCTGAGGCGCCGGTCCCCACAGACCCATCATGGCGACACCCCCAGAGGCCGCCTGGGTTGAGCAAACTAAGCTCATCCTCCTAGGGCCGAAAGTAGTGGTCTCATGCAGCCCCCACACAAGAGTCTGCAGGGACCTGACAAGGGGCTCATGCCCCAGCCCGGGGGGTGCAGCCTGGCACTGGGATTTTCCAGAGCTCTCCAGGGGCCTCCAATGCTCAGCCCCCGCTGAGCCCGCTTGCTGGCTTAGAAGGTCACAGGACTCCATGAGCCTGAGGTTCCTCAGGGGACCTCTCTGAACTTGTCCTGTACTCTCCCCCCCCAACCCCCACTAGCCCAGGACTCCCGCAGTGCCCCCTCCCGGTGCCCAGGGGGGCACGGCTTGGGGTCAGCAGGCGGGTGGGCACAATGCTCATGTGGACCCCTCGCTGGTGACCCTCTGCTAGCCTCCATTTCCTCATTAGAGAAATGGGGGTAACTGCCTCCTAGAACCGTGCTGGGGACTGTGAGCAGCAGTGTGTGTAGTTGGCAGCACTGGACAGGCGGTACACGCTGATGAGCGTCGTGAGCATGGGCACAGCAGGACCCCCGCAGGCAGGGGCGTACGGTCCGCCGGCCTCCCGTCCCTGTGCGCGTGCGCACGCACGGAAATCTGGCATGCGCTCTTCCACACCTTGCTCCGCTTCTTTGTGCAGCTTAGGGATCCTTCCAAAACTTGAGTCGCTTCCTTTTTTCATAGTTGTAAAATCTCTCATTGCGTGGACGAGCCGTGATTTATTAAAGCCAGTCCCTGTTGATGGACAGGCCGGTTTTTTCCGATCTTTTGCTCTTCCCACCCGTGTCGCCGTGGGTAGGTTGGCGCAGGTTTGATCTGTAGGACGAAGTCCTGCAGGTAGAACTGTGTGTTGCTCCTTTTGCTAGTTATGGCTCAGCTGTGTTCGGTGGAGGCCGGACCTGTGCTGCCGGCTCCTTGTCAGACCGCTGTTCCCAGGCTTCCTCGTCTCTGCCGATCTGGTACACTTGGAGTGCATTTGGTTTCTCTTCAGTGAGGGTACATACTGCATGTTTCACAAGCATTTGTACTTCTAACTCCGTGAACTGTTTGTTCTTATAACATGCCCTAACCCATTTTTTCTACTTGGTTTTGGTCTGGATCTTTTTTTTTTTTTTTTTTTAAATCATTACTTTGTAGGAGCTCTTTATAGATTGAGAAGTTAGCCCTGGGTCAGTGCAATGAGTTGCAAATATGGTTATATAATTTATCAAGTCTTTTTTTTTTTTCTGGTTATACTTACAAAGGACTTCTTCTCTCTGAGATTATTTATTAAAACCCACCCATTTTTCCTTCTAGTACTTTTATGACTTTACTTGGTACATTTAAATCTTCACTCTGTGGGGAAATTTGTTTTCATGTAGGTTCGAGGTAGGGATTGAACCTGATTTTTCTCCATACAGGGTAGCCATTATTATAAATATCACTTGACACTGAATTGTGTCAAGTTACTCTGTCCTCCTTCCCAGCTAATACCATATAGCAACAGAAACAAGTTGACAACGCATCTGACGGCCAAGTCCCCAGGATGTTTGTTAGTGAATGGCTGGAATTCACTGCCAGGTTTGGACCCCAGGGTGCTTTCTAGCCCGTGAGCATCCTGTCATTCCAAACAGTCCAGCTCTGGGGTGCTCTGTGGGCCCGACTGGTTTCCTAAGGACTGGACATTTTTCCAGTGTCTCTCCCTACCCATGCCTGCTGTGGACCTTTTATTGGAGACTGTTCGCCGAGCCCCTGCTGAGAGTCAAGAGCTCCTATATACTGCCTAATCCCCAGGACTCTGTGACACACACACTTCTCTCCCCCTTTACACGAGGAAAGCAAAGCTTTAAGAACGAAGGGGGCACACTCGAGGTCACACCGCTAATAAGTGACCCAGACAGGATTCAAATTCAGGTTCACTTGACTCTGAAGCCATTGCTCCTTCCGCCCAGCCCAGCCACCTCTAATGGAAACCAGAGCTAACGTGGATGGAGCACTCACTAACCAGTACTAGCATCCGCTCTAACTGCCGCCAGGCACGGGGAGCATAAATAGCTTCCACAAGCCCATGAAACTGCCAAGTGGCGGAGCTGACACTTGAACATGGACAGTCCAACCCGAGTCTAAGTTCTTAGCCATAAAACCAACTGTCGCCTGTCATTAACTAATTACACTTGGTCATGGATTCCTAAAGCACAGGTTTTTATTTCCAGAATCTAAATGCCATTCGAGAGGAGTCCAATGTGACCAACATTGAGAGAAAGAAAGTGGAATATGGCGAGGACATCACGGAGCTGTTCAACGTGCTCATGACACTGGAGATGCAGTTGGTAGAGCAGCTGGAGGTGAGGCCAGGCCCCTGGGGCACAGAGGTGGCACGATCATGCCCTGCCTGTCCCATTTGCAAGAACGCAGTAATTCAGCTGCAAAACCATACTCGAGCTGGAACCTTCCCGGGCACTCCTCTGCTGGAAACGTCCAGTGCGACTCAGCACGGCCGACTAAAGCTTTCTTTCCTCATCAGTCCTGTGTTTGCTTTTAATATATTTCAATCATTCAGAGTGCAAGTGATTCTTGTGCCGCATGAGAGGTGAGCTCATTCCTCTGGAGTGCACCCCCTATCCTGGAAGACCCCAGAGCCTCAGCAGGGAGAGGTGGCTTTTTTTGTGTGTGTTTTTTTAAGATTTTATTAATCTGACAGAGAGAGACACAGTGAGAGAGGGAACACAAGCAGGGGGAGTGGGAGAGGGAGAAGCAGGCTTCCTGCGGAGCAGGGAGCCCGATGCGGGGCTCGATCCCAGGACCCTGGGATCATGACCTGAGTTTTTTTTTGATGCTTAACGACTGAGCCACCCAAGCGCCCCCCCTTTTTTTTTATTAGACCCAAGGAGCTGTCTGGGTGCTTGAAAAACACAGTGGGCCCCCGCTCTAGGATAGAACAAAAGCTCCTCCGCATTGCAGCCTGCTTTGCCGCATCCCAGGGCCAGGCGAGGAGCCTGCAATTCAGCACTAAGTCGGGGAAGCACAGCGCGCTGCTATCTAGAATTCCTTATAGCCCGAGTGACTCGTGTGTTCACAAGGCAGCCGAGGCTGGAAGTCTGAGGGGCCGTGATGAATCGAACCTCATTGGATGCTGCCGTGGCTGGGCCAAGAGATAGCGCCTAATCAGTTCCTCACGTGTCAAGTGACAGCTCAGACACGGATAGATCTGCCCATCTCAGCACAGGGCAGATGCTCACTCCCCGCTGGGGAAGGCTCGAGTGCTGTGGAAAGCCGCTCACGGAGCATCAGGGGACGCTCAGGCAGTGGCTCCTGACCTCTTCCTGCAGGGAGAGCCCCTTTCCGACATCCAGAAGTTCCCCAGAACCTGTGCATGCTCGGGCGTACTGGTATCACCAGGAGCCAAGAAGCTGTCAGGTGCACTCGTGCTTTTCAACGACCCCATGTTTATTCATTACGACAGTGTTTACACACATTGGAAAAATGTGCAGCTCAGCCTGCAGTCAGTCCTCAGACTTGGGCAGATTCCCGGTGCCCTCGGCACACCCTGCGGCCTCTCGAGTCCAAGGTTGATCAGGGGCATGACCCATCCTGGGGCGGGGGGGCAGGGGTCACAGGGGAGCAGGCCTCACCATCACATTTCCCATGGTTCCCTCACTCAAGTCCCATTTAGGCCCCGGGTGCCCAGCTAAGCACTGGGATGCAGCAATGCAGGGGTGCATTGGGGGGAGGTGGAAGCCAGGCTCGCACCCGCGCTTGCAGCGAGAGGTCAGGGGTCACGGCCAGCATTACTGAGGCACCTTGCAAGGCATTTTGTGTGAAGTAACTCGTTTTAACTTCACCTCAATTCCACAAGACAGGTATTACAAAGGAAACCCATTTCATGGATGAGGACGTTGAGGCCCAAGGAAATTAAACACGGTGGTAGAGCTGGGATACTGATCCAGGCAGTCTGGCTCTTAGCGACTTTCTCCCCTGTTTCTCTGGAGGTGATGGACAGATGCCAGTGAGAAGCCCAAAGGAAGGGGGTTAGCTCTGTGTGTGTACGTGGGGCTTGTGGGACAAGCATTCCTGGCAGAGGGACCAGCAGGTGCAAAGGCCTGAAGGAAGCTTTGAGTTAAACTGTCGGGGTGGTGAGTAAGCTGAAGTGGCTGGAGAGTACCACAGCCGTGAGAAAGAGATCAGGAGAGAGGGCCAGTTCACAGACATCTACCTGGAAAGGTCAGAGTGGTTGGTCTTTACCCTGAAGGTCTGGTATTAGAGGAGGTACCTGCTAAGTTTCACAAGATCACCTTTTACTCTGATACTAGGTCAGTCGAGTTCATGTCTAAATATTCATGTTAACTGTGTTCGTTATCATTTCCAGGAGACTATAAACATGTTTGAAAGGAACATCACGGACTTGGTGGCACTCTTTATTGAAAATGTCCAGAGCCTATATCCTTTCCTTGATGACCCTCCACGGCGAGGTGCTACTGGCCCATAACAGTGCTCCTTCTGCCTCCAGGGGAACCAGGGGAGAGGGAAATAGAGAGCCACTCTCTATTTCAGAGAGAGAGCATGAGCGGGGTGGGGGAGGAGTAGAGGGAGAGGGAGAAGCAGACTCCCTGCTGAGCAGGGGGCCCAAAGTGGGGCTCAGTCCCAGGACCCTGGGATCATGACCTGAGGCACCCAGGCTCCCCGACACTTGCATTTTTTTTTATTTGTTAGTTGTTTATTTATCAAGACAAACTATGCCATAAGCCAATATTCGTGTTTCAGAGTTCAGGAACACAGGTCAGTGACAGACTTCAATGGAACTCAACGCAAAGAAATTCTTTACATTCCCAAATCACTGTGCACCCTGAAAGATACCAGCCTTCTTCACCTCCCCAAACTCTTTCATGGAATCATAATTTCTGCAGAAATCTGCGTACGCCTTCTTTCTTGGTTCGGCCATGGCAGACTTACAGAAAAGCTGCAATCCCCAGGGACACAGCGAACGCTCCAACAATATGAAATCACAGACGCTTGGCCAGAAGGCCTCGCATCTGAGGTTTCATCAAAGCACTGCAAGTCATGGTAGTTATTCTCCTCAACACCAACCTCAAACCTAACGTCCTCCCTAACTGATACAGAAATGGACCCCGACGCTTGCATTTTTAACAAAACACAGAGAAGGGTACAGCTCCTTCACGAACTAAGCAGGATGCAAATCAGTGTAGTCCCCTTCCAGGGGGCCACCTTTGGGATCACACCTACCCCCTCCCACTACCGCCAATGCCCTAAAGAGGTTGGCAGAGATAGTAAAAAGGCAGGGCTTTATAAGCATACTTCACTTTTTACCAGAAATACCTGAGCCCCAGTTTGATGTACAGAAAGATCTCTACTTGCACCAAGGTGCTATCAGACCCATCACAGGATCCCATGTCGTGGGACGCTCCACCTTTGAGATTAGAGGCATGTAAAACCTCCCTTTTTTTTTTTAAAGATTTTATTTATTTATTTGATAGAGAGAGCGAGAGAGCACAAACAGGGGGAACAGTAGAGGGAGAGGGAGAAGCAGGTTCCCCGCCAAGCAGGGAGCCGGATGCGGGGCTCGATCCCAGGACCCTGGGATCAGGACCTGAGCCGAAGGCAGACGCTTAACCATCTGAGCCACCCAGGCGCCCCTAAAACCTCCCATTTTTCACCAAGGAAGAAACTCACCTTCAAAAGATGGAGATTTGGCAACCCCTTGGAATGTTCAAAGAATGTTCTGCAGGGTCTGAGGGAGTTTCTCGACCCTCAGAACAATGGTGCCTTGTTTAGAGTAAAGGTTTGGATGCCTAGCCTAGCCGGGTTGCTGCGTGGGGCCCTGTTTGCGGTCGAAGCCCTGGCATATTTGTTCTCAAATGAGTGATGTTCACAGGGAGACCAAACCCCAGAATCCCTGCCTGCCTCCCAAGTTGCAAGTACACGCGCCCTGGGAGCGGGGCCACATCCATGGTGCAGGCACTGACCAATCCTTTATAATGAGATTGTGCGGTTAAATGTCAGGGTTAGGAGCCAACATTTGGGGCATGACCAACCCTTCTGCTACCTGAATTCAGGGCCCTGCATGGGGGGTGGGGGTGGGGGCAAACTGCTCTGCTCTACCCCAGAAGTAACCTCTTCGTCCTGCCTTCCTGGGCCCACAGTCCTGCAAGGAGACAAGTTAGGGAGGCAGAAGTAAGCAGAGGCCAGGGCCCGGAGCCTCCCTGAGGGAGGGTCCTCTGAGAACCTGAATGTGAGCCAGAGGGACAAGGCAAAAAAGTGGGAAGGACATTCCAGGCAGAAGAGGCAGCCCCGTGCAAAGGCCCTGAGGCCCTGAGAGAGATTCAGTTCCAAGAGAGGCTGCGATAGAGAGTGGGAAGCTCCTGGAGAGCCATGAGGATGGGACGGATGAGGTCCAGTCTAGCTACATGATTAAGAGCTCACTGGCTGCTGTGGGGAGAAAGGGCTAGAATGGGGAGACCAGGACTTGGTTTGCTGTCCAGGCAGGAGGCCGTGGTGGGAAGAGATGTGGAGGAGGATAGGTGTGTGTGTGTGTGTGTGTGCACCAGGGGGCAGTGATGACCAGGTGTGTGTGTGTGTGTGTGTGCAGTGATGACAGGTGTGTGTGTGTGTGTGCAGTGATGACCAGGTGTGTGTGTGTGTGTGTGTGTGTGCGTGCAGTGATGACCAGGTGTGTGTGTGTGTGTGTGTGTGTTGGCTGGTTGGTTGGCTCTGGGGTTTCGTGCATGTGTACAAGGGGTGCCCTTCCGCCCTGCAAAGTCTGTTCTCGTCTGGAGGAAATGGCCCGACCCTCTGAGGGGCTGCAGGGGCACCTGGCCTGCTCCGCCCCTGGCGTTTGCTTAACTTGGCTGCACTATGGCTCAGTGCCGGGACCTGGAGAACCACCACCACGAGAAGCTCCTGGAGATCTCCATCAATACTCTGGAGAGGATAGTGAAGGGCGAGCTCAACGAGGACCTGCCCGATGACGTGCGCGCTGTGAGCACTGTGGGCGGGGCCCTGGGCGCGGCCCTGGGCGCGGTGGGCGGGGCCCTGGGCGCGGTGGGCGGGGCTCGGGCCCAGTGGGCCGGGCCGAGAGCGGTGGGCAGGGCTGGGGGCGAGGCGCGCTGGCTCAGGAGCCGGAGGGTCGGACGCAGTGCCCACCCCCCACCCTCTGTGGCTCTAGCAAGCCTGAAAGCCTCCTGCCGCCTGTTTCCTCACCTGCAAAAGGGACGGACAGTAACCCCCTTTGCAGGGCGGTTGGCAGATGACGTAGGCCAACAAATAAAACACCAGGTGGGCACTCAGTGGGGAGCAGCTGAAGAGGAGCTCACGATAATTAAGTGGTTTCAACTTAACCAACAGGTTGGTTTGCAAAAGGTCATTTCTGTGGGGCTTCTGGAAGTTTCTGAGAGAGGCAGATGCAAATAGAAGTTCTGAGATTCCTCCCCCCCCGCCCCCCCCGGCAGGCCTTCCTAACCCTTGCGTGTCTGCGGTGGGCTGCACTAGTGTGGTGTTCGGAACGGCCCAAGCACCATTTCTGCCTGGCCTGTTGCTGTCCCCCACCTTCTGTCAGCACGTCCAGTGATGGGTGGTCCTGCATCAGCAGTCAGCCCGAGCTGCTGAGGCTGCTCACCCGGGGAGGCTGTCCGGGTCTCCTGTGCTGTGGTCCAGTGGCGATGTGTGTTGTGTCTCTAGGGAGGGACGCAGGCCAGATCCTTGTCAGGAGCCTGCTTTCATTCCTTCATCATTCATCCCACTCCCCACTTCTCAGCTTCTCTCACCTCCATGTTAGCATGAGATCAAGCCACACTGTCTGCATGGACCACTGGCCTCCTTGCTACCCTTCTGTAGGCTATTATTCCCCGCACAGCAGCCAGACATCCTTAGAAAACCTCAGCATTCTGTGCCTCTGCACAACACATAGTAATGGCCTCCGGTGACCCGTGGAGTAAGCACTTCACTTTACCATAGTCCACCAGACCCCCGTGCCTGGCCTGCCTACCTCAGCCGCCTGCCCCGTCGCCCCAGCCTCGGAGCCATTTCCCAAGCTCCCAGGCTTGCTCCTTTCGTTTGATATTCCACCTAGCAGACATGCCCTTCCCTAAGCTCTCCGGGTGTCTGGCTCGTCCTTGTTCAGCTCTCAGCTCAAATGGCAGCTCCTGGGAGACATCAGTTTCCTGGAAAGCCACTGTGTCTCGATCACACACCCCATTTATCGCTGTCAGAGCCCGTATTACAATTTCAAGCTCTCATGCGTGTGTTGATTTGCTTATGTGACTATTCACACCGCATCCAGGCTCAGGGGGAAGGCAGGGATGGCCTCTTCGCGGCCAGGTCCCTCGCCAGTGCCAGCAATGGTGCGTGGCACTGCCACAGTCCAGCTGAAGTGCCCTGAGTTCTCGAAGGCCCACTTCGTCAGGTGCTGGCTAAGTCCCTGGACAGAGACAAGCAGTCCCGGCTCCCACGGCCTCCGTCAGGGGCTGAGACAGACGCCTAGGGCAGCATTGTGGTGGCCGGCCTAGTGTGTTGCCGGCCCTCCCTCCCTCAACCCCTGCCAAAGCTGCTGTGACCAGACACAAGATGTCACTTCCCCTGAGCCCTGAAATAAGGCCGCCCCCAAGAGCCCACTCTGCTGTGCCCCAGAGGGACCATCGAGGGGTCATGGAGTCCCCCCACAGCACGCCTCCCAGTCTGTGACACTCAGTGGTAACAGGACTGACACATCCCTCCCTAATAACTGGGACACAGGAAAATATGGGCCCCGAAACTCAGTGGCAGACAAGCAGGCTGGACTGGTGCTTCCAGTGGCCAGCCCTCTCTCCTGCCAGAATGACTCTGCCTGACACCATCTGTCATCTGTTCCTGTGGCTCCGGGAACGCTCAGTACCTGCCGACTGGGTGGGGGCCGGCCACAGTGGCTGGCGACACAGAGCTCCACTTGCCGTAGGCTTGCCACTGTCCGGGCACGGAAGCCTGAGGCTCACATAGGATCTCCTTTATCGCCGCAAACAACCCTACAAAGGCGGTACTGTTATCATTCGCAGTTTACAGATGGGAAAACTGGGTAAGACTGTGTCTCAGAGAAGTCTGGTTAGCCGCGCAAGGTGACAGCGCTTGGGAGGACTAGAGTCTGGAATCAAACCCCAGCCTGAGAGATTGTAGACTCTCATTGTAGACTACAAGCTGGTGTTCTGGGTTTGCCCAGGGCCCCAGGCCCTAGGGTAATGGGGCTCTACCTTGGGCTTGCTGGTAGGACTGGTGTCGAGTGCCACCCTCAAGGCCTCATGGGGGCAGCCAGCTGAGCCCACTGGACGGCCTGCCCTCTGTGGGCCAGGGTGAGCTCTGTCCTTTGGCGAACGCCTGCAGTTGCATGGAGAGACATCACCAGGACCTTAATACTGTGGCTTAGGTCTCCCTAGTTATTTTTTAGGTAGGCTCCACACCCAGCACGGAGCCCAACACAGGGCTTGAACTCCCAACCCTGAGATTGAGACCTGAGCTGAGATCAAGAGTCAGACGCTTAACCGACAGAGCCACCCAGGCACCCCGAGTTCTCCTTACATTTAAGCAACAAGATGGAGCACATTGTTCTCAGGGCGGGGGGGAGGATGCCTTCACCGTAAGAAGTAATTGTACCTACAAACAGCTAGCATTTACTGAGGGCCTCCTGAGGGCCAGCCGTCTGAGAAGCAGAAGCACTGGACACGTATTAGTTCTTTTTTTTTTTTAAAGATTTTTATTTATTTGACAGAGAGATAGAGAGCAAGCACAAGTAGGTGGAGTGGCAGGCAGAGGGAGAGGAAGAAGCAGGCTCTCCTCTGAGCAGGGAGCCAGACGTGGGGCTCGATCCCAGGACCCTGGGATCATGACCTGAGCCGAAGGCAGCCGCTTAACCAACTGAGCCACCCAGGAGCCCCGGACACGTATTAGTTCTTTTTTAATCTTCAAATCAACACAGTAAAATAGGTACCATTATGGTTCCCTTTTACAGACGAGAAACCCGAGGCACGAGATGAAAGCAACCCGCCAAAGACACCGCATATACGTGGTAGAGCTGCAATTAGAACACAGGCAGTTTGACTCAGACTCAGAGCCTGTGGCAAGACAGGGATGTTCGGATGAGTGAATAGGGCCCTCAGTGAAGAAAAAAATCCCGTTTCTCTTATCTAATTATCAAGGAGCGGGATCGCGATAAAACGTCTCACGGAGGAGATTGTTTATCTCCTTAAAACTCCTCTCATTCAGTCCAGTGATTGTGATCAGCTCCCGCCACAGTTGGGGCCAAATCTGTCTTTCGAAGTCCTTCGGTGCTTTGGAAGGAAAAGCAGAAGGCGCGTGCTCAAGGAGGAAGCTGTGGCGGGGAGGGAGGGGACAGGAGCGGCGCTGGCATCCCCAGCGGCCCCTGGCAAGGGCCCCTCCACTGGGGTCAGGGGCCGCGGGCCGCAACCTCATGCTGCCACGAGCCGCTGCCACGTGCAGGGGGCCGAGGGAGGGCACACTTGCTCCCTGGGTGCTCTGAGCAGCCACGTGGGCGTCCAGCCGCAGTGGTGGGGCCCGCGCTCAGGCCCAGGCCACAGAGAGGACCTGCAAGTCCCCAGAGACTGTGCTCAAGTGACAAAAGTCATGCCGCCCCCCCCGCCCCCACCCCAAGAAGTTGCTTTGAAACAAATGTGTCTTGAGGGCTGTGTCTTCACCTCCGTGAGGTCCAGCAAGGCCCTCAGGTAGCCAGGAGCTTAGGAGACCTGCTATGACCCTTTTTAAAAGTGAAGAACCATGGGCGCCTGGGTGGCTCAGTTGGTTAAGCGACTGCCTTCGGCTCAGGTCATGATCCTGGAGTCCCCGGATCGAGTCCCACGTCGGGCTCCCTGCTCAGCAGGGAGTCTGCTTCTCCCTCTGACCCTCTTCCCTCTCGTGCTCTCTATCTCTCATTCTCTCTCTCTCAAAGAAAAAAATAAAATCTTAAAAAAAAAAAAAGTGAAGAACCAGGACCTTCTCGTGATGAGTGGCTCTGGCTACTTCTAGATTACCGGGACTCGCTTCCGAGCAGGCTGCCCGAAGCCCTTCCCAGAGTCTGGCCTGGGACCTTCTTTTTTTTTTTTTTTTTAAATGATTTTATTTATTTATTTGACAGAGAGAAACACAGCAAGAGAGGGAACACAAGCAAGGGGAGTGAGAGAGGGAGAAGCAGGCTTCCCGCAGAGCAGGGAGCCCGATGCGGGGCTCGATCCCAGGACCCTGGGATCATGACCTGAGCTGAAGGCAGACGCTTAACGACTGAGCCACCCAGGCGCCCCCTGGCCTGGGACCTTCTTGCACAGAGATCTTCATGACTTCTTGTCATTTCTCCCATGCAGCCGTGCTAGCATCAGCTGCGTCAGCTAGCCTGGCTTCTCTTCATGGGATTCTGTGGAAAACCACCATCCCGCGAGGTACTCACAGGCATTACAGGCATTACTCTGAAAAGAAGTCTGTGGCCAAATAAACTGGCAAACCAAGAGAGACAAAGTTAAAAGAGTTTATACTTTCCAGAGCCTTCTCTGTTTTATGGCCTGTTATGCAAGGCTTTCCCAAATGTATTTGACCAAAGAAAACATTTTGGGGGATTTTTTTGCAGAAATACTAATATCTCAAGATCCCATAGAACATATTTTGGGGACTATTAAGTTAACCATTACTATACTAAAGAATAAAAACAAGTATTTATCTGCTTGCAGTCCTCACAACAAATGGAACATTCGGGTCTTTCGCCTTTCCTTCAAAGTGTAAGCAGCGCTTTCGAAGTGCGCCCGCAGCCTTGCCCTGCTCTGGGGAATGATTCCACTTGATTTCCAACTGAGCCAGCTAAACAACAGCCATAGTGTGGGCACCTAGAACCAGCCAGGCCTGGTAGAGGGTGGTCATTCTCAACAACTTTTTACAAGGCAGAAAATGAGCTCAGGAACAAGAAGGCAGGAGACGCCAAGCATAATCCAGAGTTCAATTGGGTTAACGTGAGGGGCAGTGGAGAGACAAGGTGGGCAAGCAGCCATCGATTTATAGGGCCTTCTGTCCTCAGAGCAGCCCCGAGACCCTCAGCCAGCCTCGCACTTCCCACCCAGCCGGCAGGTGTCAGGCAAATCAGACTTGAGGGCCAACGAGAGAGAACCACTGTGGGAGCAGACGTCGTGAGTGAGGTCACCTCTGGAACAACCACCTGCCTCCTCCCTGAAGGAAACACACTCCCAACTAGTACTGCAAAGTTGACACCTTGGTGGGCCCCTTCCCCATAGCGCTTGCCGTGGCTTGGGTCTGGGAGGCATTGTCCCCGGAAGATGAGCTGGAAGAACGCTCTGATACAAAGGTGGGCGCTCCACTGGGCGCCGGGCAGCTGCCTCCACCAGCCAGAGGACACTCGGCTGTTCCCTTTCTCTTCGGCCTTCTGACTGCGTGCTCGGGGGCAGGGAACATGACACACACGCTCATTTGATCTTTCTTGCTCACCAGCTTTTCGTCGACAAAGACACGATTGTTAATGCTGTCGGGGCGTCACATGACATCCATCTCCTGAAGATCGACAATCGAGAAGATGAGCTGGTGACCAGGACCAACTCTTGGTGTACGCACTTGGTGGACACGGTGAGTGGGCGCTACCCTGGTCTAGGAGGCTGCACCCATTTCTCCAGCTACCAGCCAGAGAGAAAGGGGACATCTGTCCCTGGGAGCATATACTTTTGGCAATATGAAATACAGTTAAAAAATTTTTCTGAAATATCTTACTTGTCAGAGAGAGAGAGTGCACGTACAAGCCGAGGGAACAGTAGAGGGAGAGGGAGAAGCAGGCTCCCTGCTGGGCAAGAAGCCCCATGCAGGACTCGATCCCAGGACCCTGGGATCATGACCTGAGCCAAAGGCAGCCTCTTAACCAACTGAGCCATCCAGGCGCCCCAAAATACAGTAAAATTAAGGATGGTAGAATTCCACACTGAAGACAGACTTTAGAACCCACATGCTAACCCACCCTAACTCCTCCCTCAAAGAGATGAGCAGAACGCGGAGACTTTAAAGTAAATGAGGGATGCAACTACGCAAATTTCAAAGAACAACTTCCTTCTCCCCAACCTGTGCTCAGTAAAAGAATACCAGCAAATTCTCTGACTTTAGGACCTCAGGCTTTGCTTTCACCCCTCAGATCCACAAGGATGAGATCATGAGGAACCGCAGGCGAGTGAAGGAGATCAATCAGTACATCGACCACATGCAGAACGAACTGGACAACCTGGAATGCAGTGACGTCATAGATTAGGGCTGCGCCAGCCCAGACAGTTCTTCAGAACACAGTCATCGGCCTTCCCAGTGCGCACACACACCACACAAGTCTCCCTGACCGCCTCACAAGCGTTACTGGGAGTCTCTCAACCCACAACACAACCCCTCCCCCCAGCACCATTCTTCTCCCACCCCTGGGGAAACCTCTTTTTTTTTATTTTTTTAAAGGACGATGTCTCTTTTCTCCATTCTTTTTTTTTATTTTTTTAAGATTTACTTAGTGATTTGGGAGAGAGCATGAGCAGGGGGGAGAAGCAGAAGGAGAGAAAGCAGACCCCCCCACACACACTGAACACAGAGACCGATGTGGGGCTCAATCTCATGACCCGAGATCATGACCTGAGCCGCAACCAAGAGTCAGTTGCTTAACCAACTGAGCCACCCAGGCGCCCCCATCTTTTCTCCATTCTTTTAAAAAAAACAACATCAGAACTCCTAATCACACACGTGCAGGAGGAAAAGTCCAAGATGATCAGTTGGCCTTGCAGCTGGCCAGCCGCAGAGTGGCTTCCAAGGTGGCTGCTACACCCTTGGGCACGGCCTAACATCAGCTGCGTGCCCACTGTCTCTGCTGATGCGCCCAGAGCAGGCCTCCAGCGGGAGGCGGACGAGGCTGACGTGGACTGAGTCCTTCTCTTCTCCGCGTGCTGAGGAGGGACACGGGAGAGGCCGGAGCCCCGGCATAGCCGTGGGACCTGGGCCGGCCCATCAAGGTAGAGGCCATGGCTCCCTGCGTCTCTGAGGTTGGCCGCAGGGGCCACACGACCCTCCAGAGGTGAAGACCACAGGCTGGGCCTCCCATGTCTCCTCTGCAGCCTGAGCTCCATCTCAGGAATGAGAAGTGGGGAGGTAACGGTACCTCGTCTGAGCACAGTCAGGGCCTCAGGGAGAGCACCTGGCCTGTGGCCCCAGGGGACCGCATAGGGCACCCAGGGTGGGGCGAGTGGCCAAGTCGGGAGGACAGTCGAGGCTCCCTGAGCAGGACGCTGACAAGTCAGCCGGCCTTGCCCTGCCCACCTGGGCTTTTAACCCACAAACAATGCATGCTTTCTATTTTCAAGAGTAAATGCTTTCTTCTAAAATACGAGGAACAAATAGAAATAACCAGTGTAGGACAAAAAGGACTCGCTTTCGAAAGACTGATTAAAAAACCAGGGGAAAAACGTCTCCCGGCTGAGGGCCGCACAGAGCTGCGTGAGGCTCCCGGCCACGGGCAGCAGAGAGCAGGATGTGCCGTGGGAGGGAAGCCGTCTGACCTTGGTGAAGCCCAGACGTAGCAAGAGGAATGGAGGAAAGCAGAGGCGCAAATGAGAACAGGCCTCCACGCGTTCCCAGGGCAGACAGGTATTTAATAAAACCAGCTTGAGAGGTAGTCGCTCGTTCGCTTGTCCCGCTCGCTCGCTGCCAACTGGGCCAGGGGCGCCCGGCCGGGGCACGGGCTGACCTCCACAGCCACGCTGGGTCCCGGGGGACATGGCAGAGCGACGCCCAGCGGGGGCCCCGCAGGCCGGGGGGCGCACCTGGCCAGGCCTCACTGCTGCAGGAGTTTGTGCTTCACCGTGGTGCTCTCGGAACAGAGGTGGACGAACAGGGTGCCGGCGGCCGTGCGTGCCCGCAGCTCCTGCAGCTCGTAGTCGTGGGCCCACTCAATGTTGCCCCACTTCTGGATCTGAGGGGAGGACAGGACAGGCTGCTGCGTGGCTGGCAGGTGCCCGGCTGCCTCCCGGCCAGAGCCACATTCCATCCCCATAGCCAGGCTCGGGGGCCCGGGCCCCAATCTTGCCAAAACAGGAGACCCACGCAGGGGAGGCAGCAGGGGAGAACCCCCTGGTGGGCAGAGCAGGCACCCATGCTGATGGGGTGCAGACAGCTTGGGAGGGGTGCAGTCCAGCCCCAGGGCCCGTGAGCACCCAGACTGCCGGGTGGGCCTGGCCCCAAAACCACACGTGCATCTTCCCCGAGGGGGCGCCACCCGCATGCCGTCCTCCTCCCACAGGGAGGCTGGTGTGAGGCCGCCTGCAAAATGTCATCCTCTGCGAGCTGCCTCACCAGGCTGGGCTGCAGTGCCCCCTCCCTGGCCAGAGGCCCAGCCGCCCCAGCCCATCCGGGCACCTGGGATCTGCCACGTCACACAAGCGACTGTCCCCACGTGAACGACTGTAATATGTCGTCCGAGGAGCATTTTATACTTTGAGGGAACAGGTAAGTCCCTGTTTTGTGGCGGCTCGAACCTGAGAGCGGGTTTCTTGGCTCCCCGCCTCCCACAGCCCTCACCCCCCACCCCCAACAAATCACCCCTGCCCATTCCATGTCTCTAGCAAGCCCCTTTCACTGTAGAGAAACAGTTTTTCCCCCTGGCATTTTTCGGAGCAGATGACTAGACGGACTCGGGAAATAATGTCATTACAAAAGAGTTTTCATCATGCTAGGAGCCGATTTGTAATAGCAATTAACCTTCTGAGGTTGGAGGAAAAAAACAGTAAAAAGACTGCAGAGAACGCCATAATTCTCAGAGTTAAAAAATGCAAATGACAGTGTAGCAAAACCGTATTAATTTCAAACCCACTAAATGAAAGCTTCTGTACAAATAGCAGCCCCCTGGTGTGCTCTGCCATCCAGATGACCCGCAGTGTGAGGGCGCCTGGGCTCTTCGTGTCAGTGGGGCCCACCGTGCAGTTGTGCAAGCAGACGATCTTGACCCGCCCATGAACCCCTATCTGCCAAGTGCCGTGACTGCCTCGGTCTGGAGTTGCCCAGACCTGGCTCCAAACCCTGGCTCCAGCATTTTCCAGGGGTGTGACCCCGGACCTCAGTTTCCCCCTGTGCAAAATGGGGATAACAACAGCTCCCACCTGGCCAGGCTGTTCAGAAGAGGTGAGGCGATGAGGGGAGAGCTAAGCATGTTGGAACATGGTGGCACTTACTACTGTTACATTATATCACTGTTTCTTGACAATACTTTTGTGGGCCCTGAGTTTTGGTTTCTGGATGTATGTGAAAGTCATGAAAGGCCAAATCTACATAAAAACATTTTTGATGGGCTAGCTAGCCCACCCCACCCCCACCCCCTCCCTCAGTCTGAACCAGGGAGGGGAGAAGCGGGGACTCGGGCCGCGGACGCTCCTCACCTGGTACTCCTCCTCCAGGCGGGACAGCAGCACGGCCTGCTCCACGGTCAGGTGCAGGTCCATCAGGCCCAAGGTCAGCACCAGGGACTTGAGCTGGGTCACTACAAACTCAATCCCTGCAGGGACACAAGCCAGATCAGGATCCAGGGCACCGCCACGCCAAGACAGGGCAGTTGCCAGACCTCCTCTTTGCGAGCCCCTGCAACCCTGGAGAGGTACAGAAGTGCTCGATGGGGGACCAATGGTCACAGGGGATGTGCGCTTTCTGGCCAGCTCTGTATCCATTCCCCATTCTTCTCAAAGAGTACTCTGATTTCCACTGGGGGTGTGATCCCTTTTCTGCTCCTGCCTGGGGAGGGGGGAAAGGGGGGGCACATGACTTGAACCAGACTTGTCAGAGGACTCCAGCCCCTGGTCCAGGGACTGGTTGGCAGATGGGCATGTGACTCAAGCCAGGCCAATGAGACTTGAAGTCAAGACGCCTGAAGAAGAAGGCAGAGCCAACTAGCCCCTGCAAGGGTAGGAGCCTGCTGTCCTCCTGGGACTGAGTGGAAGGGTTAGTTAGCATCAGAGCCAGCCCCTCGAGTGTTCTGGTGATGCCTATGTCCGTCACGCCACCCTCCCAGGCCATGGGAAACACCACGCGTACCTTGTAGGGCCCACATGTTGTAAGACGCCAGGTGGCTGACGAGCACCTCCCGAGTCCTGGCTGGGATGCTGGGCCCCATTATGCTGGTGGAGGAGCCGATCTCCACGTCGTATCTGAAAGGAAAAGGCTTCGGCATGTCCCTGTGGTGCTGTGTGGCCCAGCTTTCACCCAGAAGCAAAGTCCTCAACTGCTGAGCATGCACGTGCCCTGTGAGGGCTAGTCTTAGGGATTCTGGGAGCATCTATCACGATGGCCAGTGGCCTCCCCAGAGCAGAGCCAGAGTCCACACAGCTGCCTGAAATTCTAACTCCTTTGCCTAGAATCTCCATCAAAAGCATGGGGTGCCTGCTTTTTAAACCTTTTAAGAAAACTTTTCATATTTGAGACCACAAAAAGATTTCTTTAAAAAGTTATTTTCCTGGGGGCACCTGGGTGGCTCAGCTGGTTAAGCGACTGCCTTCGGCTCAGGTCATGATCCCGGAGTCCTAGGATCGAGTCCCACATTGGGCTCCCGGCTCGGCGGGGAGCCTGCTTCTCCCTCTGACCTTCTCCCCTCTCATGCTGTTTCTCTGTCTCTCTCTCTCAAATAAATAAATAAAATCTTAAAAAAAAAAAAGTTATTTTCCTGGGGGCACCTGGGTGGCTCAGCTGGTTAAGCGACTGCCTTCGGCTCAGGTCATGATCCCGGAGTCCTAGGATCGAGTCCCACATTGGGCTCCCGGCTCGGCGGGGAGCCTGCTTCTCCCTCTGACCTTCTCCCCTCTCATGCTGTTTCTCTGTCTCTCTCTCTCAAATAAATAAATAAAATCTTAAAAAAAAAAAAGTTATTTTCCTGGGGTGCCTGGGTGGCTCAGTCAGTTAAGCGTCTGACTCTTGATCTCAGCTCAGGTCACAATGTTAGGGTTGTGAGATTGAGCCCTGCCTCAGGGTCTGCACTGGGCATGGAGCCTGCTTAAGATTCTCTCTCTCCTCTTGGTGAGGATGCAGAGAAGGGTGAACTGTCTTACACTGTTGGTGGGAATGCAAGCTGGTGCAGCCACTCTGGAAAACAGTATGGAGGTTCCTCAAAAAGTTGAAAATAGGGCGCCT